ACGAAAACAAAATTATGAATTAGTATTTGTTAAATAAACTAGGAAATGTTAATGATATATCGACTTATTCGTAAACAATATCTATAATATTTAATATTTAATGAAAAGAGACAGACAAAAACGACGTTATATGCTGGTATTTGTTAATTAAGCTAGGAAATTATGACGAAATAACAGTTAATTTGTCACCAATAACCATTTGTTTATAACTTAGTATGTAACAAATGGAAATCGGACGGAACGAAATTATAAACTATGTTATGATATAAATTATGATATATGTTAATTAAGTTAGGAAATGATAATGTAGTTAACAAATGCCAATATGTATATAATTTTGTTTCCGTCCTATTTTTTTTTGATAAAAATTAAATTATAAATAAATAAATATTGTTGTCATATAAATCATTATTTCAAAACCTTAACTTAATTAAAATACTAGTTTATAATTTCGTATCGTTTAATCTCCATTTATTAAATATTAAGTGATAAACAAATACATATCAGTGACGAATAAATCATTATTGTTTAATTAATAAATCAATATATAATTTCGTTTTTGCTTAATTGATATATTTGCGTGAAAACATTGCATTTTTATTTTACATTTTTTCGTAATATTATTTTTTTATTCTTTTTATTATGATTGAGAACATTATAAAATGATTTTATATAAAGATATTGTAAAGTACACTTCATGATTTTTTTCTATATTTATGATGTCTTTTTCAGTGATTTTACAAATTTTTGTTAAGTTCTTATTAATTACAATACAAATTGTATTCATATTGATAAAAGTAATGTTTTTTCGCACATAGAATATAAGTTATTCGCATATCGACTAATTTCTATTAACTCATTCATTGCGCTCTAATTCGATTCATGCAATTAGAAAAAGTACAGAAAAAGTGTCAAAAAAGTGCAGAAAAGATGTAGAAAAAATGTAAAAAGTTGTAGAAAAAGTGTTAAAAAAAGTGCAGAAAAGATGTACAAACAAAAGTTGTAAAAAGTTGTAGAAAAAGTGTAAAAAAGAAAAGGTGTAGAAAAAGTGTTAAAAAAGTGTAGAGAAAGTGTAGAAAAAAAGTGCAAAAGATATGTAGAAAAGATATATAAAAGGTGTTGGAAGTGTAGATAAAAGGTGTAATAAAAGGGGACAAGATTTTGCAGTCTAGCGAAGACGACGACGACGACGACGACGACGACGACGACGTCGTTTCTGAATGACATAAATCGGGCAGAAAAATGCATGCATATATTCATATCCCTGCATCCAGTGCACTTACGGATGTGATTATTATCTCATTTTAATTGTAAAAATCTATATATATACCCAATATACTTATTCATTTTTTTTAAATACCAATTTGTTTAAACAAAATAATAATTTTTTACTATAAAAGCGTTCTCCTTCCTGTAAAGGATACGCTGTAGCGTTTCTTTCGATCGACACCTTTTCTCATATTGATTTTTTCCTCATATAATTTTTTTTTATTTTTTCCTCATATAATTCCTCATATAATTTTTTTCTCATATACTTGACGGGAGACGCTACCGCATCTCCTGATACCGCATTATTGTTATCATGATTTTTTAAACTGAAAAAACAGCTTTGCAACTGGACGTATCCCTTAACATCATATTTGATTAAATTCTGATCCAAAGACACATAAGGACATGAGCTAGTCATATATAGGCTGTTACAACGGTTGCAATTCTAATTATTCTACTGAACACAGTCAATGTTAAATCATTTTGCTTACATCGTCTTTGCAATTTTTCGAGAGAAGCATTTATATCAAGTTAATATGATATGTATTATTACATAACGAGTTGCAATTATAATATGTGTAAAATTATGTGTAAATACTACTAAGGCAAAACATTACATTATGTCGAAAGATTAATGCGACAAGCTATACAGGTAACGCTTAAATTATTACATTTATTAAAGAATTAATACATGTACATCTTAAAATTTCAATGAAATTTGCAAAATTAATACAGTTATCTACTACACGTCAAATATAATGTTAAACCAGAAAATTGTATTACTTTACTCGTTACATTCATATAATACCGTCTACTAGGTATGTAGTTACCAAATTATAACAAATATAAACATTATTAGACATTATCTTCAAAGTTTATTGTCGTAATACATACATTACAAAAGAAAGTCGAAGTACAAAAAATAGTACATTTCTAAACATAGTCCAAACTCTGTTAATTATTAAATATAAAACCTAAAAGTTCAGTACATACATATTTACACTTTAAATCGTCTTATTCCATTCCTAGTATTATCTACTTTTCTATTCCAATATTGAAATAGAGAATACGGTTAAAAAAATTTATACGCTTCGTCTCCACGTTTAATCGCTAAACATTTGTTTCACATATCTTTCATGCAAATGTAAAGACAAACATTCTAAAAAATTCACGTTACAAGATTACATAAAAATTATTTAATTCAGCTACATAATTTGAAAAACCATACATCAATAAGTTGCATTTCTAATAATTATACAATTCTGTTTTCTCAAGTTTCATTCACATGTAGAGTTACACGACGCATGGTAATTGTTTGTAATACCACATAATTTTTTAATTACGTGATTTCAAAGATAGCGTAATGATTTTGAACAACCCGTTACGTTTGATTTATTAATATTAATTAATTGATGTAGTCATGTAATACCGTCATGTTACTTTTTTGGTAAGTATCTATCAGATATCAAAGAAAAGCACAAATAACGCTTACAGTGGTATACGCGAGGGAATTGCACCTATATTTAAGATCGTACAGTCACGATAATATCATTCATTATTTAACCCCTTCCAAGATTCAGCTACGGTATCCTCGCATTCAATTTTCGCCATTGATGGAAAACTGTTGTCTGCAAATGTCAATATCGGAAGCGCACTCCGAAGAAACGAATACGGATATACTCAGCCTAACGTAACTCATTGATATCGAACGATTATAAAGTGGACTAACAAATGTTTATGATAATTAAATACATCCAACGACTTCATTTATTCTTAGTCAAAAATTTAAAAATCGTAAGGCAATTTTTCATAATCACAGTTTCACCCTTCATCATTGCAATATCGCTTCTAATCAAAATATCGAAGTTAGCTCGAAACGTACAAAGAAAATCATGATATTTTCATGAACTTTGTATACATCACGAACATAAAAGTAAAGCACCTAAGTGCTCACGTCTCAACACTGAAACGAAATGTCACTATAACTGCAAAAGCGAATGAACGTTATTTAGTACAACGTGTAGCTTTAATTTCAGAAAAGTCATATTGTGTAGCTTTAATTTGTGTATGTGTACTACATTAAATTAGGCGTAGACATAAGTGAAAGTATTAATTACATTTAAATAATTGGCACTTAAACGTAATTAAATGTTCAAGTATAGATTATTATAAATTATTATAAATTATCATAATTTATATTTTTCAACATTGTAAGATTATTCTACGAGTGTTATACGCCCATTTATGTAATATCCTTCGTATTTTTTTTTAACATCGCTAAAATATAACAACGTGTGCAATTTGTATATAAAATAAAATAACAAAAGAGGTTTTAACAGTCATTGTTGTTAAAATGACTTTTGACGTCCGTATATTATTATAGCATATTCAAATAAAAACACTTTTAATGGTGATATTTATTATCGGGCTTAGACATACAATCATCCATATTAATATTGCAAGAATATATTTAATAGATATTGTAAAATCTAATGCACACATGACAAGTTATAAATAGATAAGGACTAATTGTAATGAAAAGATTCGTATTCCCGATCAAAACGTATATAAGTTTGAATTTAATAAAGAATTTTACTAAACACATACATCCAGTAACTGGCTCTAATTGGAATTTTATATATTATGATTTTATTCAGCAGAGCCTTCTTTATACATTCTTTAATTATGCTATTACTACACACAATAGAAGTGAAGAAGAATAAGAATATTATAATTCTTATTCATAAACTTTTAACATTTTACCACTCTGACAATTCTAATTTATATATGTACCCGAAAAAGTAAAGGATATGAGAACTGCGTTACAGAAAAATTTTATAAGTTTCAAGTAGTTTCATAATTATAATTTACTGTGACATTGATAATGAACCGGGCGGCGTCAAACTGTTTTTTGTAATTTCTTTATTATTTTCAATTAAAAGCTTCTTTGTTACACATCTGGCTCTTAGCCCTCTATTTGTATAGTCTGTAATAATATGTTGTCTTTTAAATGTTGTCTTTTATATTCGTGCTTCGGGTCCACATGATAACCAAGTATCATTTAGTATGGGAATTCTTTTCATATGCATTAAATTCGTAATAACGTTAATTATTTTAGTGAAACACAAATTTGTGCTTTAGAGATCGAATATGTCTATAAAGTTATACCGTTGCAATATATCATTTGTAACAAAATAATTTAAGTATATAGGACGAATTACCAAATAATTCCATTTATTCTTGATATTCGAGAATGTACCTACCTAAACATATCACCACAAAATTCACAATGATAAGGTTTTTCGCCTATATGAGTTCTCTCATGAATATGCAAATGCACTTTGTTTTTAAATCCTTTATTACACGTTCCGCATTTGTATGATATACCTCCAATGAATATGTTCTTATTAGACTTGTAAGTTTCATCATTTTTATGCTTTGTCTTCACGTGATATATTACATTTTCTTTCCGGCTGCGAAACGACCGTTGAAATATCTATTACTTTTACCAGTTAATTTAATCATTGATATTGAATAACCAAAGCATTTTCCTAACTCTTGTTGTTCACTTAAATACTCACATAGATTTATATTTACAAAATTCGCATTGATAAGGTTTTTTATCTGTATGAGTTATTTCATGTCTATGTAAACGCCATTTGTACATAAACTCCTTATTACACGTTCCGCATTTGTGTAATACACCCCCAGCATATAGTTCCTTATTAGACTTAATTGGAACGTTCATCATCCTTATGTTTTGATATCATGTGTCTACGTAGATGTATCTTTTGCCTGCAAATGGATCATTGTAATATTTATTATTTTTTACGTGTTAATTTGATCATTGGTATTGAATAACCAAAGCGTTTTCCTAACTCTTGTTGTTCACTTAAATACTCACCTAGATTTATATTTACAAAGTTCGCATTTATAAGGTTTTTCGCCTGTATGAGTTCTTTCGTGGTTACGAAAATGCGTTTTGTTCTTAAACTCTTTATTACACGTTCCGCATTTGTGTAATACACCTCCTGCATATAGGTCCTTATTAGACTTGAAACGTTCATCATCCTTATGTTTTGATATCATGTGATTACTTAGATGTGCTTTTAGCCTGCAAATGGATTATTGTAATATTTATTATTTTTTACCAGTTAATTTGATCATTGATATTGAATAACCAAAGCATTTTCCTAACTCTTGTTGTTCACTTAATTACTCACCTAGATTTATAATTACAAAATTCACATTGATAAGGTTTTTCGCCTGTATGAGTTCTTTCATGTCCACGTAAATTCGTTTTGTTCTTAAACTCCTTATTACACGTTCCGCATTTGTATGATACACCTCCAATGTAAAGATCCTTATTAGATTTGGAACGTTCATCATTATTATGCTTTAATTTCATGTGACGTGTTAGGCCATCTTTCTGGCTGCGAAACGACCGTTGAAATATTTATTACTTTTACTAGTTAATTTAATCAATGATATTGAATCACCAAAGCATTTCCTAACTCTTGTTGTTCACTTAAATACCCACCTAGACATGTGACCACGAATATCACATTGATAAGGTTTTTCGTTTTTATGTGTTCTTTTGTGTCTACTCATATTCGATTTAAACTTAAACCCTTTACCACACGTTTTACATATATGTGGTTTAATTTCATGTATGTTTCTATTCTCCTGATTTGAAGTTGTCGGGGGGTTAGAGCGATCATCTTAAAATTAAATAAAGATTATATGTTATAAAACAAATCAATTATAGTATACTCTCGAACATTTCAAACAACATGAATATGAAGGCTAATATGAGAGCAATTCGCTGTTATTGGTGTGATCATGTATAAAATATGTTATAGTGTGAATTTTATATACCACGTATGTAATCCCCTCAAACGCGTGCCGAAAATCCTTCAGACTTACAGCGCAACTCTAACCAACTACCGTAGTAATATCACAATTTTTTTATGCTTATAGCACCTTATTGGGTCTTAATAATATGTTGAAAGACATTAAATTCTTAATGATGTAAACGTTAAAGTAATAATAAATCGAAATCTGTGAAAAATAAGGTTGTGAAAAATATCACAAGTTGGCGTTTCGTCCCAGCTTCCCACTACTAGATTCATCAGTAAGATAATGTAGTTGGAGCCTCTACCTTAGACGCCTGGGGGAGATGTTAGAAAGAAATTCTATATAAACAGACACTCATGTATCTTGGCACTTTTGTGAGAATTGGCATGAGTAACTATAGACCTCTGTTGGTTAGTCGATTTTGTTATAAAGAAACATTGAAAAAGGTAACATAATTCTCATAATTTTTAAGATACTCTACTCAACAAAATTAAAGCATTGTCTGCAAGAACAGGCTAACTTCGAAAAAGAATAACTTCGTAAAAGATAATATCGAAATGTTTAAAAAACCATTTTAAACCATGTAATCTCTACCTTTCACACCGTCACTTCAAAAAATGTCTTGTTGATATTTCATGAAGTTACAGTGTCATATATAACGTTTCATCAAATCTTAAAGTTTTATGCGAAATTTGTGAAGTTGTACAGCGCGAAATGAAAAATATGCTCAAATGGGTTTCACAGCTTACGAAAAATTGAATTATTTTTTATATGTAATTTTCTTTTTCGTTGAATTTTGTGTAATTTTTTCACCGATTTCGGTCGAAACAAAAAAGTTCATTTTACTTCAACGTCCAATGATTCAGAGGAATGAAGCAGTAAAGATCACGAAAGAAACGAGGTGTAGATACCAAGAATTACACTTTTGGATGCTTTTAAAACGCGTCAGTGCATATTTTCAAATCGCAACTTGGAATTTTCGCACATTTCGTTAAAAATTATGACATATGTTGAACCTTTGTTTTTATTTGTGTAATTTTACAAAGTGTCATTAATATCGTTGTATGTAGCAAAGGTTAAATCTGAAAGGAACAGATTTAATGCTTTAAAGTGTTTTTCTAATAATCTCGATACGATGATCATTGACAAAACTATTCCATATCAAAATTTTTTTATTTTTGCATAATGGATTATTTAATGCGTTAATTATGTTTAGCAAATTGTAATGTACAATGATATTAATTGATCTAAGTATGATTATTAGGAACTGCATAAGTCTTACCTCGCTGTTTGTATTCATCCTCTTTTGTGTCATTATCCGTTTCTTCATTTTGATTAATATTTCTTGATTCAACTCTCTTATCCATCAGAAATATTTGTCAACTCACTTTACTGTAACGTTTTTTATATTACTTTCGTACTTTACACGTTCTCAATATATTTAAACACTTTTACAATTTCATACCTTCCTAAATTATAAAAAAAACCATAAAAAGTAATAATAATTTTAAGTACAATATAATTATAATAAACTGACAGCTATCACGAAAAGTAAGAAGCAAGTAACAGAAACCTGTGTCAACTAAATTCAGTTATAGATATTTAATGTTAGTTATAATACAAATATTTAAAGCTATAAAGTCACCTCTTTGACGTTGGATAGTTAGATTTATGTAATAACTTTTATAATTTAATAACTTTTATTCAAAAATTAAAATATAGATGTGTAGATTAATACCAAATGATACGTTTGAATTTGAAATTGTTTGCTGACAAATAAGCACGTCAATGTCTTGGGAACGACTGATCCAAGGTCTTCGTATGTGTGTGTTGTGTGTGTGGAGACCTATTATAAGTTTTCATATACATACAGATATACTTATGTACGTATAATTATAAGTGATTCTTTCGAGAACCGCTGGGACAATTTGCATTATAGTTTCAGGAATCGTATAAACTGCGGAGAAGTGTTCTTTAGGAAAGCAAAACAACCCGTACCTTCTGTTTCTGCTTAAAGAAAACGGTGTAACCGTGGTGTTAATTGAAATTATAAAATATGGAGAAATTGATATTATACTACACAAGCTACAAGGTTTACATTTGCAAATAACGAAAAATACTGGTTGATATATTTCAATAAAAATACATTACCGTAACAGAAGAAGTAGTCAGAGCTTAAGTCAGAGACCTTACTGGCAGAATGTAATGTCAATTTTCGTAAGCATCGTTGATAAACATACACGCACGCACACACACGCACACATCTTACCAATAAATGGATTGATATTGCCATGTCAAGACGGATTTTTATTTCAATTTGATCATACCATAGTACTTTTTGTTGCTTGATATCTAAAATTACATAGAAAAAAATACTAGATGATATAGGGTAAACCCGGTATATACGCCGCACCTATCGAAAACTTAATTTATCAATTATTATTTACTATGTTTAAAGCAAATTAATTATACAAATAAAAACTTTGTATCATCATCTACTACTGTAAAAAAAATATTAGAAATCCAAAATAATTTATTTTCCATATTAAAATAGTACATTATGATACAAGTGCGCAAAGTAGGTGTTTCCCACACGAGCGAAGTTTGTCGTCCGAGCGAAGCGATTTTACTTATCATAGAAACTATTAGTTGAGCTATTAGATTGAAAATAAAACTAAAAGGTGAGGAGAGTAAATACGCTAGCATTTTATTTCTTATTACACACAAAGTATGTACGTTTTCTTAAAAAGCATACATTCGATGGACGTGCTGTACCTGCGTAACTGTGTATTTTTTGTTTAATTCTTACTATTATTAAAATAATATATGCATATATTACGAAAAAATAGTTTAATACACACGTTAATAAAATAATGAAAATTTGGTTATCTTATTATATTAATATTTAATTATATATTTGAGATTATCTTATATTAATAAAATAGTATATATTAACGTATAGATTGAGTTTTTTTTATATTGATTTAAAAACAAACTATGTTAATCACAATCTTTTTCCTTTCTTCCTTTCGCCTGCTTCTTTTTTCTCCTTCCTCTTATATTTTAATTTTGTACGTTATTTGACAATTGCTTTGAATTGATTAAGAAATTGAAGGTAACGAAATTGGAAACTGATTTCGTTTTATAATTCCACTTGACATTGTTCTTTATTCACATATATTTGTATTCTTATTTAAATTTCCGTTGAATGTATAGCAACTTATATGGAATTTTTTAAAGAAACGCTGTTAACATGCCTAAAGATGAATTTTTATCCGCAATACGATTAGTGTTAAATGCGATCTATTTTTGCTTAAATAGCGATTTTTACAAATAAAATTTTAGTACCTCCACGGGATCTCGACTTTCCCCATTTGTAGCGGATTTGATCATTCGTGATTTAGAAACTAAGAAATTTAACTTCTGTTTTATTATACGTTGACGACATAGTATAGTATAGGTATAGATTCCAAAAGTATGATCGATTTCACAATTGAAACATTTAACTCATTTCACAATAGACCACAATTTATTCTAGAAATAGATGGAGACAGAATAAGTTTTCTGGATCTCACCACCACATTGATACAATTACGTTACAGAATTTGATCGGTACCATAAGCCTGCGCGTTCTCGGTGTAACATCTAAACTTTACATCTTTATACTAGGTTTCAAAGTATACAATGGATGATTTTTATTTCCGATACTTTTAATGACGTATCGACTTGAGTTGAAGCTGATGACATTGATAAAATGTTTTACCTATAAGCATAAAGATGTTAACATTATAACGTTTTTCTTATTTTAAAGGTAATATGAAACAAAAGAAAGGCTGTGTGACGTAAACATCACATCGCAAACGTTATGACGTTATTAAACTTATCCAGAACTCTTATGTGAAATAAACTTTCAGTTACAGTAATACGAGAAACTTAAATCATCAAAAAAGTCTATTATAACATAATATTGATATCGCAAATGTATCATATACTAATGATACGAATTTTCGATTACATGTCCGATTTAAATTAGATACAATTAATCTTAAGATCTTGAGTCTTTTAAAATTGGCAAAAATTATTTATTTGTTCTATATGCAAATTTTAAACTCGGAATATTGAAGCTACGTTTATGCGAATCCGGTACAAAATTCTATTTAATAACTCATCTCTCAATAGACTACAACTTACTTTGAAAATATGTGAAGAATACATTTTCTGGATCTCACTGCCCCATTAATGTTATGTCCAGTGGACTCCATGATTTCTTCGTTCAGTAAAATAATTAATAAACTTAACAATATCGACCGATAATACGAATTTGAAAAACGTATCAAAAATTTACCCAGCGGCATGAGAAAAATCAATAACAATCTATAAGTTTATAACATCCATGAGTAAGTCATTTTCTTTTTTATTTCTATTTTTTTCTCTTTTGCAAAATTGTTTAATCAATATCAATCTTGACAAATTTTATAGTAGAATGTGTTATTATAACAATTATTTTGCACATTTTATAAATTTTTAAATATTTCTATGTGTCAGCTATTTTGTTAAATTATTCGTAATATGATGCGTTCGCCGTTTTATGCGGGTACCCGTGTGATATACGGGTACTCGGAATCGGTTTTCACTCGTGTGCTACAAATGATTGACGGACGAACGGGTACCTGGGTTCCCGGGTATTCCGCGAGTACTAGTTTTTACAGTCACACGAGAAAAGAAATTATCGAAAAAAGATAAATTAATGTACGCGTAAAGCGTGCGTTTATTTTCATCTGTTTACATAGTAATAGGCTAGTAGGCACATCGTAGTAAAAATGTAACATTTATTACAATATTATACGAAACTAGACAGAGCATCTTTACCATTGTAATTTTCTTTTTATTATGTAATTGACGTAACGTGTCATTGAGAACAAATGTGTTCTTTACAAGAAAGTTAACGAGAACGAAACGACGATATATTTGTATAGGTGCGGATTTGTTGAAACGCACTCTGCACATTTTGTGAAATTGCGTTATTCCGCGATTTTTCGTCGAACAGTGTAAAAAGTTGATCTATATCCTAGACCCATTAATATCATGTTCATTAACGAAATTCAACACTGCTCCCTTCAAGTGGATTCGTTTTCTTTCCACTCGCTTCCCTTCGAACTAATATATTTGAAACCGAGCGAACTTGTATGTAGCGATTAAACTGTTTTAGTACCATCGTAGTGAGAATTGTGTTTATACACGCCCCCATAAATAATATGTACATATAGGTATGTGATTGTGGGAGCGAGGATTTACATAAAAAAAATAGACATATAACAAAACTGAATGATATATATTATATATATCAGATCACGAAAAAAGAAACCGATTATCTTACATTTGCATTTTAACATACAGTGATTATATTATTATTATTATTATATAATATAACGCAAATTATAATTATACGCAAAAAAAACGAAAGTCTTTCAATAGTATTGATTCTAACGAAATTTGATACATATCTCTCTCTCTCTCTCTCTCCCCCCCCCCTCTCTCTCTTCCCCTATAGCGAAGATTTTATTATATATACGTAAGCTGTGATTGCAATCATAACTTTTAAATTATATATTACAATAGTGATTATGCTTTATTTAATGATTAAACCGTCTGATAAGACGCTTTAATAGGCACTTTAAATAACTTGAAAAAAAAAACAAAAGAATAGAAAAAAGAAACGAGAAAAAGACATTACATGGAAGCTTATTCTTGTAAATATATATTGTGTCTATTATGCTTAGCCAGTAAGAAAATGTGAAAAAAGTTTTTAATGAAAATTCCTGCATACTTCGTCCTCGAGCATTCTTTTATTCACTGTCTGTCTGTCTCTCTTCGTTACTTTGCGACATTTTCACTATCGTTTTCATGTTTAGCAATTCTCTGTGATTCTCCAACATCTCCACTAGTATCGGCTCCTCCATCAGCAAGTGACTAGACATAGCTATGAAGCTTCTAATAATTTTCTTTATTACGTTTATTTTTCGTATTGTCATTTCCATTTTGTGTTGAGTTCTGAAAAGAGAAAATAAAAATTTTTAATACAAAAATATTTCGTAAGACACGAATTTCGCAAATCTTTACTCACTCTACAATCCCAGGATCCGTTTTCTGCAATCTTTCGCTTCGTAGCTGCTCCTGTTCTTTGAGAAATTTTCGGTGTTCGAATAGTGCCTTCTGACATTTAACTTTCAAATCTAATTGTACTTGAGACGCTTCCTCGATAGCATTCTGAACATCCATAATTTTGTCATTGAGAGTGAAAAGTTCACGCATGTAGGTGTTGATTTTCCTAATAGTAAGATTGTTTCATATCTCTTTACATATGGCATTTCAATTCACATCTAAAGGTATACCATCGAAATCTGACTAAAGTTATTTTGAAACAATTTTACAAATCAAAGAATGTTTCAAAGCATGTGTAGCGCATTATATTGACCGTAGAGCTTTTAAATAGCATTTACATAAATTTATTTCTCACTTTTGGTCCTCTGCAGTGCCTTCCTTGTTACTGAGAATTGAGAGAATAGTGCTGCTGTGAATGCACAACTTGGCAGCCTTGGCATTTAGGAGCGTGTCGGATGTGACATTCTGCAGAGTGCTTTTGACCTTATCCTGGCTCTCGCTGTGTGTGTCATCGGCGTGCTCTCTCTCTGTAACATAAACGCAAGTGACTCTAAAATAAGATTTTCGAGTTTAGAAAACTGTGTAAACCAGCGCGTCTGTGAACGATGTACGTTTGTAGTTTGCTTCAAGCATTAATAACCGAGCGTTCAGGGGCATCAACGACTTCCTAATCGTATAGACTTTCTCTTCAATAGGTCTAAGCTCGTTCAGCGAGATCGCACCGATCTGGAATTCGTTGATTGCTGTATTTAGTTGTTTTACGGACTGCTCCATTTGATCAAGCTCGTCAAGCTCCATCTGCTCCATCGTTGATTCCGCAAGTCTTTATTCTTCCTAAAAGCAGGGTTGGACATATATTAAACTCAACATATTATACATGATTTCATACGTGGATGAAACTATGTATAATACATCGTGGGTTTCAGCCATGTAGAAAATGACGCTTCACAGAGTGAACTAGGAAAAGTGAAAATTTGTAAGCAGACCTATGCTATGTGTACATTGCACATGTGCAATAATGATTAATGAGCTAATAATGTGCAATAATATCAACAGTAAAGTTGTTTAGTCTATGACTATAACAATCTATGATTTTTTTCTTGATGGGACTTTGTAATATAGATTTAAGAGTTTTATAAACTATCTAAATAATTTGGATTCAACAACGTTCATAGATATATTACAGCCAAAAAAAATTTTGCTAACGCCAAATTAATGATATATGAATGAGGGTGAGAATGTTTTACCTTATCTGTGCTCATTTCCAAATCTATAGAAAAATAAAAAAAAGTTGTTTTAATGCCTAGCAATTAATTTGGATAGGTTATAATTTAATTTAGCTATAATTTCATTTACTTAAATTTACTTACATTAATTTATATATATATTTTAGTAAAGGTGCGATGGAAGGCAATCCTCTCAAAAATCGATTAAATTGTACTCATTCGATGCGTTTTTCCATAAAACGAAGGAATCCGGCAGAAATAAGCGTCGCTCTGCCCCGAGAATCGAGATATTAAGCGTTAAAGTTGACGATATTGAGGTTAGGATATAAGTCATGGTCAACACTGCGATGTGAGCATGCGCTGCGGTCACATTTTCATACTTTGTGACCACACGCGCATGCGTTTTCATAAGTATGCGTCTTAAAAAGAAAATAACCGCTAAAATTGAAAAGTCCATTTATTGTTTTCTACTGTGTAGTACACGTACAATAACTGTTAGCATTCAATAATTATGCTATCAAATTTTATTTGTCTAACTGCTAACAGAGAAAATTTAATCAATTTTCTCATCAAGCATGCAGTATTGTCTGCTACAACAAATTGTAACAAATGTGGAAGTATTATTATAAATCTATAAATAAAGAAACGTTAATGTTCACCTGCAACAAAATCCATTGAAAAATGGATCGTGTTTGATTCATCTCTTTTGATCTGTACCTATTGCGGAATACTATTTCGTTGCACACCACCATTCCCTTTGAACTCTTTATATCTCCAGAAATTCGTATTAATCAAATAATGTTTTTCTATTAACTATGAGTGTATTCCATTTCATGCATCGAATGTAAACAAGTATAAATGAAAAATATGCGCAATTATATGTGAAGCAGAATGTACCATTATTTATGCTATCAAACTATACTTGCATAACAACATCATGACAGAAATTAGAATTAATCTATTGAAATAATTTGTATACTCAAAATTACGTTGATGGATAAGAAAAGATATTTTCTCGTCAGCCATGGCACATATCACATTTTTCTATTTTACAACATGCATAATATACAATAATAATGTATGTTCGCACCGCAAGTGCGTCGACTGGCACAATTATTGAACTGCTACAATCGTTGTTGAAAAGTCGTTCTTATCAGGATATAATCTACTAAATTCATCTAAAAGGTATTATACAAATTTTTATATTGTAATATAACGCTTAATGAAATATATTTTAGAATCAAACATTTTAATTGTAAAATTTTATAATCGTTATATAACAAACAGAAATTTTATATAGTTTAACATATATATGTTTTTCATGGTCACAATGGATTAAAATAAACCGAGCATGATGTAAATTTAGAAGTATTAGGCTGAACCAAAAATTAAAAAATATTATAAATTCAAAAAGTTATAATTTTTAAAATAAAATAATGAATTAAGTAAAAAATTAATAAAAATAAAACATTTTACGAAATAATTACATTTACAATTTTTTTCTTGTTAAAATTAAATGTTTACTACAACGCTGTTATTCCATTTTTAAACAAATGAAATTATAAACTGTAATTTTTGGAAGAGTGAGCATGAAGAGTTAATGAAAACGCATTTAACTATATATATTGATATTAAATTATAATCAAAACATTTATGTCATGTACTAGAGACAATAGAAGATTTGGATCATATACCTGTAATAAAACCATCATGAAGGCCAAAACTGAGCTGTAAAACTAAAAAAAAGTGTTTTGGTTATATTTAATGAAAATGTTTGTCTTAAATCGAAAACAAACACGAAAAAGAATTACCCCGAGATAACACAAAATATTTATAATTAGTATTCATTATTACTACTTATATATATAATTATTCATTTTTTAAAATACTATACATAAATATTTTATTAATATTTTATATAAACTTTACTTGAAAACGTTATTAAAATCTAAATTATATAAATTATATAATATTTATAATAAAATAAGTAAATACACTACTCAAAAAAATTAGGAGAGCACTTTAAAACCTGCAAATTTTGTTGATTTTGAGAAACTAATATCTCGACTTCCAGGAATAGCAGAACATTGTTCCTTAGCCTGTTTTAAAGGGTAAAGCCTGTATTTTAAAATAGCTTAAGTGAAATTTTTCGTCCCATTAAACTGTTTCTTTTTTTTCGTGAAAATTACAGAATAAAGAGTGTTGGAATCTTGAAAATGTTATGATATTGCAGCCTTCCACGGGCAAAACAATGACGAGACGAAAAATGTCATCACATCAATTTTGAAGCCGAGTACAACTCCTTCAAAATGGCATAAAGAAATTGTATCTATAGCTTGCCTTGGAGTTGAGTTATCAGGTTCCAAATTGGACCCAATTTTTTCGCCAGATTTTGGTTAAATACCGCAAGCATTCGCGTTATCTGATGTGCACTACGAGGAGGTTGCTTGATCAGAGTTTGCACATCATAGTGTGTGCACGCGCGCAAAGAGGATTTGAAGTCATATTAAATAACACGAGAGTAACGAAACGTGAGGTCTTATTTCTGCTAAAATATACACACACACACATATGATATGCAAACTCCGATGGTATAATCTCCTCGTGGTGCACATCGGATAACGCGAATGCTTGCGATATTTAACTAAAATATTGCGAAAAAGTAGAGTCTACTTTGGAACCTGATAACTCAGCTCCTAGGGAAGCAAGAACAATTTTCTTTATGCCATTTTAAAAAGAATGTTCACGGGTTGAAACTGATGTGATGAAATTTTTTGTCTCGTCCTTGCTTTGTCCGTGGAAGGCTGCAATATCACGACATTTTCAAGATTTCAACACTCTTTGCTTTAGGTTTTCACGGAAAAAAAAACAATTTAATGGGACAAAAAAAGCAGTGTTTTTCGTTATCTCGATAATATTATTTAGATAATCTAGATGAAGAAATGGCTTTATCTTATCTTATCTTCATTTAGATTATTAAGAATATAGATCTTATCTTAGATAAAAAAAATGTCTTTTTCAAATTATCTAAGATTGTACAAAAGTATTACAAGAAAATAATTTCTAGTAGTAGTAGTTGTGATGAGGATTTTTTTCATCCCATAGACAAAAAACTGAGATTATTTCGACACCAGTCATTTAAAGATATATTGAAGTTCTTTCATATTTAGAAAATAAACCTAAGGAAACAGATATTTCTCTCTCATTTTGTATCCACACGTAAAATAGATATTTTTAATTATAATACATCATTGCCATCATCAGAGCCAGTAGAGCGCCTCTTTAGTTGTAGACAACAAATATTAATTCACACGAAGAAATTGTTTATCAGACAAAATGTTCGAACAACTATTGTTCTTAAAAATTAAAAATTTATAAAAATATGAAATGGCTTTTTTTGTATCTTAAATTGTTTTACTACATAATAGTTAAAAATAAAATTATCTTAAAAATTATCTAGATAAAATTTTTTTAAGTTTTACCTTTATCTAGATTAATGTAAAATTAATCATCTTTATTTTATCTTAGAAACATTTTTGTGATTTATCTTATCTATATCTAGATAATTTTTAATTATCTAACACACTACACTTAAGCACTGCCATTTCAAAGTAGAGGCTTTACCCTTTAAAACGCACTAAGGTATAATGTTCCGCGATTCTTGGCAAAGATATTGATTTTTCAAAATCAACAAAATTTGCAGGTTTTAAAAAGCTCCCCTAATTTTTTGCGTAGTGTCTTTTTATAAATATTTTATATAAACTTATTTAAAAACGTATATAATGTAAATTAAATGAATTATGTAATATTTATCATAAAATTAGTAAATATTCTCAACAAGTATTTTTAGATTATAGTGATTTATTAAGTATTTTCATAGGATTAACTATAATAATAAATAGGATAAATATTTCGTAATTTTTAGAAAAAATTTCTGTGATCAGCGTATTTTGAGATTACAAAATATTAATAATAAATCTATTTTGTAAATATTCTATAAATATGGTGTACTATCTGGGTAGACATTGAATATGTGAAATCACAGTTGCATATGTGTAAACAGTTAAGTAAGAAATAAATTAAAAATTATAGTGTAATTTGACTTTTTTGTATGTAAATTGCTAGAAATTGATTACGGGTTTGCCCTATTATTCTGCACATGCTTATATTCATATAATACTTCTATTCAATGTATAACATACCTCACGGGCCATATTATACCCAAAGTGGAAAAGTCCCATGCCAAATTTTACTTCCCTTTGTTTTATTTGCAATATAAATTGTAAAATCTAGAAGATATTAATGATTCAATAAATATTAAATACATAGTACTACTTACGACAGATTAGACACTTGTATAAATTTTATGAAATGGCTCGATACATAATTAGAAGGTTATTATCACAAAACGTCAAGAAGATGTTATATTACAACACATTTGTGAAATAATAATAACCAATTTTATAGATTAAACAATATTTTGTTATCTTAAATTCCAATATGTGTAAAATTCTAGCAACTATTTTAAATTTTATGGTATTAAAATTTTATTTTACGCAATAATTAAATAAACCGCGCAAATATTCAAAAATAATCTTTCACTTTGTCTTAAATTATACAACCCCATTGTTTCAGTTAAGTTAACGGTACATTGAGTATTATTCAATGACCATCTACAGAAACGATTAAAAATAATTCAAACCAGATGTAAGAAACATCAGCATTATGAATTTAACTGATTCAACATTATGAATTTAACATGACCATGTATACTATTGTACATTTTAGATACATATACATTAACATTAATTATATATAATAAAAGTTTTTAAAATATTTAATTTTATTATATAACAAAAAAGTGTATAGTATACTTTGTGGGACTTTGATAGTATAATCGATAATTTTAATGTTCGCTTTTGACGTATAAAATAACAAATTAGTTAGAAACTTTTTCTAGCCTATAAATTTTTATACCTATACCTATCGAGTTAATACGTAGTGCGCACAAACATTTTTACATAGAAGTGTAATGCAATTGTTGCTTTTTAACGTAAAATTTATGCAAGCGTCCAAACTTCTATGTGCGCTAAAAAAATTACGCTCATAGAACAATTAAAATTTTATAAACATTTTGTTATAATTAATTACCTGTTCACGTAAATTTTCATCGAGATTATAGTTGGACAATTTGTGAAGAATTGCTACCGTATCGTTTATCTGAAATTATTTTATCACTATAAAAAGCTTCCTTAAATCAGAGTAAATGTACATAGTGCATAAAAAAGATATCAGGATATTA